CTCTACTACTCTTTAAGTTCTTCATACTACTCTTGATTTTTCATTTATTTCCATAATTAAAGGGGAAAACAAACACTGCAGGTGTTTCTTACTGTAAAGTAAGGTGGGGTTTTGTACTACAGTATATTGTTTTTGAAGAGTTTTAAATAAATAAAATGCTTCACAGAAACAGCTTCTGTATTTCCCAAGTCCAGAACTCCAAGCTCACATGTCAGATAGTTACCATTAAAAAGGAGTAGCCTGTCCACAGACTGCGCCACCCCTGAGGACAACGGGGGATGCTATTAGTTTGGCTGTGAAAGGCAGCAGCCAGAGAGGGTGCCTCACACACGGCACATCTGCTTATATATTGCTGGATCTCCAGATCTGACACTGGCTTCGCCGGAATGGGAGCAGTGGTGGACAACCAGTAAGACTTGTCATTCCGACTGGAGTAGTGACAGACTTTATCGCCGCAATAAACGAATGGCATGGTGTTAAATATCTGCAAGCAAGACCCTGCCAGACCTGAGGAGAAAAACAAAATGAGTTTCAAACAAGCCTCTCTTCAACTGAAGCTGTGTGACCAAAAACAATATCCCAAAAGCAAGGACATTTGCCTTTGGTGAACCTGAATCCAGGACACAATGAGCTGGTCCTTTCAGCTTTTTTCAGTCCACGATGCCATTTTCCTATCTTTTCTTCTGAATTGTCATTACATTTAAAATTGCAAATAAATCAAGTCTCATATTTGAGAAGGATCCTCCAGATTTAAAGAAAATTCTCCATGGTGAAGAACACCAAGTTGTTGTACACATTTGAACTGTCCTCTAGGTGACCATATTCAAAATTGGTAAGTGACCAATTTTAAAGCCTATTCTTTCTGTTCACATGTCAGAATAAGATGTTTATAAGGTCCCTTATATTTTCTGAGAAACCGCAGCACATGCCCACAGATCTTACATAAAGTTATTTCAGATTTCTAGACATTTTAAGAACTGTAAGATGTTCACTGCAAACTTCCCTTCTTGTTAAAACTATGAAATCACACTCACCAAGGTCTTGATTATGCGCTTGCTCTTGACCTTCAAGGTACACCAAACTGTAGCCAGTCCACATCTGGTTCATACCCATAGGACACTCAGGGATCTTTTCTGTTTGACTGTGCACAACTATTAGGAAGCCAGGGTTACACATTTTTAAAGATCCTGGCTCTCCTGGTGATCCTGGCTCTCCAGATGGACCTATGAATAAAAGTGTTAAATACAATGAACCACAATACTTCCAATTCATCAGCCAAAGAAGAATTGTAATACATTTAAATAATCATATCGGTATCTACCTGCTGAGCAGGCCTTTGGTTCATTCTACCTGGTAGTGTGGGTTTCCACTGCTTTGTTACTGTTTAACCAGGCAGGTCAACAGCAACCACCTAACTACAGTATCCTCTCATTATAGGAGCTTAGTTTGATCCGTGGAAACTGCCCGTAAAGTAAAAACTCCCATTACCATTCCCATTACTTCCCATTTTATAGTCTCTGCTTGGTTCCAGAACTAAAAAACATTGCTTCAAACAACCCTAACTTAATCTTAATACAACATAGAACAGTACTGAATTATGAAAACAATAACATTCCTGGTTAATTATTCAGTTACATGCTTAAAGCCTATGGGTAGGAAAACACTCCTGCTCATTTACAGTACACAACAGTCTTAACATCATTACAGTCATTAGTAACTGCATAAACATTAGGTACTATACAGTATGATATGCACTGAACAATCACAATCCTTTATTATAAAAAAAAATAAAATAATAAATTCCTCATCAGAGAAATTGAAGAGAATGAAGAATAATCTCAGCAATGCTTTACGAGAGCCCATCTCATAAGAGGGAAAATCTGCTAGTTTAATGAAAAAACAAACAATGTAGTAGGAATTACTACATCTCACTGCCACAATCCCCTCACAAGAGGGCCTAGGATATATGACTCTACTGCAAATATCACACCAATTCTTTTAAGATAATTATTTCCCAATTGCAATGCCAGGAGTACATCAATTGCATAAATGAAAAGCAACAACAAATCCACATCTGCAACCCAAGGTGCAACGCAGATTTTATATGACGTGTCAGTGGTAACTCAGAATTTTCCTAGATTATTTAGTCAAGCTTTAAGGTGAGGAATGTAAATCAATGTAGATTTCTCTGCATACTCTGAACTAAGACTGGAAAACGCCCCTAGTACCTTGACGACCTTTCTCTCCTTGCTCTCCAGGGAAGCCAGGGTCTCCCTCTTGTCCTGGGAGCCCTGGTTTTCCTACTGTTCCATGAACTCCAGGCAAGCCCACGTCACCCTTCAGTCCTGAAACACAAGAAAATAAAGTCTTTGACTTGTAGATAGATACTTTATTGATCCTG